ACATTATGCACAGTTTAAATTTAAAAAAATTTTTTTACTTTTCTTTCTTTTGTATTTCTGATTAAACCTGTTTTCCACATCGTATAACTGAGAATAACATTCAGGTGGGGAGGAGGTCAGCTGTTATCTCTGTCTTCAGTCCATCTCAGACCACTAGTGGCAACTCACCACTTAAGAGTCCTCTGGAGCAGTCAACTTTTCTTGAGAGCAAGAGTGATTCTTAGACTTACGAATTTTGATAACTGACACTTACACCTAAGTCTGAGAGTAGGAGCAAATCTAAGAAATTTTCAGCACTTAAGTCTAAAAATCCACTCAAAGAAGTTTTATAAATATGGGCCCAGGTTTGCAAGGAGCTGGTGCCCGTCTCCAGAAGTCACTGGGTGAGGGGTAAGGTTCTTTCACACAGGTGAACTATCATACGCAGACTCACACCAAGATTAAATTTTGAGATATTAACTTAAGTTGTGGTTTTAATGGTTTTAGGGAATGTGGAAGGAAAACCAGTGTACTTGGACAAAAACCAACACATGTCCAGGGAGAACATGCAAACTCCACACAGAAAAACCTCAGCTGATTCTTTAGGAGGGTTCACCTCCTTTGACCATCAGACACCTGGGGGCTATTTCACAAAAGCAGAATTGAGAAATCCAGGATAAGAGCCAGATGCCAGATTTTTTTTTTTTCAGTTTTGGATGCCAACCAGGGATTTTGGCAAATCCAGCTAGATGAGGAAAGTTCTCACCTGTGTACCTTCAATGCTCCCTTTGGGAGGTACAGGTTTAAAAGACTTCCATTTGGTATATCATCAGCACCTGAAGTCTTTCAGAGGTGCATAGACAGACATTTAGAAGGGCTAGAAGGTGTGGTCAATATAATAGATGGCATCTTGGTTTGGGGGAGAGAATATAGAGCAGCATGATCATCAMCTGAAACAACTGCTTGACCGCCTGAGAAGCATCAATCTACTGTAAAGTTGAACAAAACAAGTGCAAAATAAGTGACAGACATCAAATACATCRGACATGTGCTCAGTGAGAAGGGACTCGAGCCAGATCCTGAAAAGATGAGAGCCATACAAAACATGGCTGCACCAGAAGATAAAGCTGCTCTTCAGAGGTTCACAGGGTTGTTGCAAAACCTGTCTAAATTTATTCCCAACCTTTCAGATTTGAGTGCTCCTTTAAGGAAGTTGGAAGGAGATGTGGAATGGTGCCGGAGATCAGAACAACAAAACAGTTTTGATAAACTAAAAACTCTCGTCAGCCAAGCACCAGTACTTAAATACTTTGATGTCAGCAAGCCTGTTACTTTATCAGTGGATGCAAGTTGTGATGGACTGGGAGCTGTGCTTCTCCAAGAGGGACAACCAGTAGCATTTGGCTCCAGAGCATTAATTGACTGTCATAAACATTATGACCAAACTGAAAAAGAAACGCTTGCAATTGTGTTTGGTTGTGAAAAGTTCCATCAGTATCCATATGGAAGACTTGTCCATGTAGAGACTGATCACAAGCCACTGGACGTGATATTTAAAAAATCAATCCTCAGCRCTCCAGCAAGACAATTAATGCTCATGAGACTGCAAAAATACAGCCTGGAAGTGAAGTATAAGTCAGGAAAGGAAATGCATATTGCTGATACTTTGAGCAGAAAATTTCTAAGAGAGAGCATCGTGAGAACCTTCTTAATGATGAGCTGGAGGTCARCTGTGTGAGTCATCAACTCCCTGTATCAGAAGAAAAGTTGCAGGAGTTCAAAGAAGCAACAAAATATGATGAGTTAAAACTGGTTGCAAAAGCCACTGAAAAAGGTTGGCCAGATAAACAAAGACAGATTCCAGCTAAAATCAGACAATACTGGACATTCAGAGAAGAGCTGTCTTATGATGATGGACTCATTTAAAAATTCAAGGTTTGTAGTACCACAAATGTTGAGAAGTGAAATGCTTAATAAAATCCATGAGTCACACATGGGCATGGTCAAGTGCAAGGAGCGAGCCCATGATGTACTGTTCTGGCCAGGAATGGGCAAACAGATGGAAGAAATTGTGGCTAAATGTGCTGTATGTAACACACATAAGAACAATAATTTAATAGAGCCACTTATRCCACATCCAGTGCCTGAAAGAGCATGGGCAAAGACTGGCATAGATTTGTTCCACTTCAACGGTTCTGAGTACCGACTTTGTGTGGATTATTTATCTACGTTTCCAGAGTTCATTAAATTGAATGCATCCACAAGCAAACAAATCATCACTGGACTGAAGTCTGTATTTGCACGACACGGTGTGCCAGATGAGTTATTATCTGATAATGGTAGACAGTTAGTGAGCCAAGAGATGGAAGATTTCAGCAAGGAATGGGGTTTCAAACATACAACATYCAGTCCTTTTGTCCCTCAGTCAAATGGACAAGTTGAGAGAACAGTCMAAACAATAAAAAATACTAAAAAAATAAAAATAAAAAAGATCACAGGACAGTGGGGGTGATCCTTATTTGGCATTGCTGTAATATAGGAACACACCASTGTGTGGAGTTGGATTATCACCTGCTCAGATGCTCATGGGAAGAAGGCTTAAGTCAAAAATACCTGTAACAAACACATTGTTGCAGCCAGCTCTCTTTGAAAATGTCAGGAGCAACCTTGTACAAAGTCAACAAAGACAGAAATGATATTATGACCAAGGGAAGCAGGATACTGCCCGATYTCCAAGATGGTGAGAAAGTAAGGATAAGGCAACAAGTGAGAACCAGCCACWGTGGTACAAAAACAGTCAGCCAAGGTCATACATTTTGAAGACAAGTRGAGAACTRTAMAGGAGGAACCGTAAACACCTGCTCMAAACAAGAGAGACTGAGCTGTTCACAAGTTCACCTGATGGCAACACTACAGTATTTTTATCAGGAGGAATCGCAAGACACTCTGTCAAGTGTTGAACCAGAAAAGCTCTACACCAGACTGTTCATCTGGGTCACACAGTCCARCTGTGATAACTGAAGATGTTATTTCTTCTGACAGTCCTGTGACAACAACTTGTTGTGGAAGACCAGTGAGGAGGCCAAGAMGTTATACGGACTAAGAAAAAAATATTTTTAGAGTATTGCTTAAGATTTAGTGTTCTGAAAGAAAAAGAAAAAAAAGGAAGATGTGATGTATTGTTCAGTGTTTCCAGTAGGTGGCGCTGTGATACTGTGATGTAAGAGACCARAGGAGAAGAATAAATAAAAAAATGTTTGTTCTGACAACACTTGACGTCATGCATCTCTGTATATAACAGTGGAGGTTTTTGAGCTGTAGGAGACTAAATGTCCTGTTTGTTTATTAAAGTTCAAAAGGTTTAAAAATAAAAAGGAAATACTGATATGGATATAGCTAAAAGTTAATTTGTTTTTTCAATAACATTTTTTGAATCGATAACTGATAAGATGGCATGTTATCTATTTGAAAAACTTCAATATGTGAATTTAATGAGCTKAGAAACAGCAGGGGCGACGGTGGTGTTTGGTTAGTTAATGACAGGAGGAGGGAGGACAGGCTGGAGCCAGACAGTTTGTAGCAGCTGTGGCCTCAGTCATAAGACCGCTCAGTGTGGGACTGATGCGTGTTTGTCCTCTGACCAGCATTCTGAAGAAACAGGGAGGCGGAAGTGTGAGTAAAACGAGCCTGCCTCTGATGGGCCCCTGTCTCTCTCAGTTCCTCTTATGTAAAGTTATGTTCCTTATTTACATTTGGATTTTGTAGATGCATGGTTTGCATTTATTGATCTATTTTTTATTATTTTTGTTTGTTTTTGAGATAAAAAGTTGAAAATTGAACACTGAGGTTTTCCATCTGGAAACATTTAGAGGGGGAATCTATTAATTATTTATTTTTGGAGGGTCAAGCTAAGGCTTCACAGAAACTGTTTCGAAACTTACATACATAAATGATGCACATCATGCTAAAGAAAKAAAACACTGCCACTAATTTAAGGAGCAACAAAGGGAATGGAAAACAGTGAATCACCTGAATGCCTAAAATGAACATTTACTTACTGCTGCTCTTAATGGAAAACACTGTAATCATATTATTCAAGGATTTACATGTCATTTGCTCAAATGAACAACTTTAAAGTTAAAACTGAACAGTGTAAGTCTATAATGTAACAGGTAAATTCGTTCATGTTATTCTTTGCTGTTCCACATCTTATCAATATTTCTACAGTACAAACATGACCGAACCAAAGATAAATTGAACTTTCTGTAGACTGGTAAATACCTGAAAAATGTTGACTACAAAGWWMAAATGCTTGTACTAATTACTTATAAGGTGSTGCTCACATATTTCATCCTGTRTTTATAAATTTATTTAGCCAGTAAAAAAGACTTGTGTCGGCACAGAGGGTTGCCCACAACCCCCAGATTTCACAGCAGCACAACAATTGGCCCTTGATATAAATAAATGGAGACCTTAGAAGAGATTGGTGGRGAGGAAGTAGGGCAGTCACTGACTGTGTCTCACAAACTGTCCCCTTATACATGGTCCATCATTCCACTGAATATTAAACATAATCACACATTTCTGTAGTATGATGTGGACCACTCAGTATACCATGCTGACTTTTAGGACCCAGCTCCACAGGTGGAGGATGACATCACCAGAATAGGTAATGCTCATGAATGTAATTGTAGGGAAAAGCCAATGGGTCTGACCTGTCCTGAAAAAATTTCCCTTCTGAAGACCTTCTCAAGTGCTTCATCACAAACAACGTCAATAAAAAATGGACACACAATTGTAAAGGATGACATGTTTGGAGCTACTTACAGGTGCTGGTCATAAAATTAGAATATCATGAAAAAGTAGATTTATTTCAGTAATTCCATTTAAAAAGTGAAACTTGTATATTATATTCATACATTACATACAAACTCATAT